CGTGTGCAGGCAAAGCCTCCGTTTCTGGGGTAAGACATTAGAAGTCTTGGGTTCGGATGCTAGTGGTTGGCATGGTGGTTAAGGGTGCGAGACTCTCACATGGCCAACTGCGGTTTGAGTCCCAGACTTGCTTTCTCACTTTCTCTCTCTCTCACTCTGGTCAAATCAAGATAAATAAATGGATAAATAAAGTTAAATAAAATACTTATTTAAATAATAATAATAAAAAAATAAGTCTTAGGTTTGGGGCCAGCAAGTGGCATGCTGGTTAAGGCACTAGATACTGCAACATGGCTGACCATGGTCGAGTTCCGGACCTGTTGGCTTGCTTCCTCACTTTCCCTCTCTCTCTCTGGTCAAATTAAAATAAATGAATGAATAAATAAAATTAAATAAATAACTAAAAAAAGAAGTCAATGTCTCCTTAGGTATTCAATCTCTAACCTCCTTATATTTATAATATTTTCCAACTTCTTTTTCTCTTTGACTTTTTTTTCTTTGCCACTTAACCACTTCCCTATATTTTCTAGTTGTTCCATTTTATTTAAGATTCTTCTAAAATTCCTTTCCTTTGGCCAGTTGGTGGTGTGGTGGTTAAGGCAGCTGAATCCCACGTGGATGACTGCAGTTTGAGTCTGGACCTGGTGGCTTGAAATGCACACCGGGTATACACGTGTGTATGCCCAAAATCCTGAGAGGAGAAAGGACCGTGGTGTGGCCATCCCCCCTGGGGTGTGATTTCTTGCTTTCTAGCTCTCTGCCTCGCTCTTTCTGGCGAGCACATGTGCCCTATAGCAAAAACCTCTCTAAAAAAGAAAAAGAAAAAAAGAAAAAGATTTTGTAATAAAAGTTACAAAAGAAACTTGTCAGGTTGGCCCCATAGCATAGCAGCTAAGGGAGCTGGATCCCATGTGGGTGACTATAGTTTGAATCCTGACCCAGGCAGCCTGAAAAACACACTGGGTGTGTGTGTGTGCATGTCCCAAGTCCCGAGGGGATGGAGAAACAGAGGAGAAGGGACTGTGGTATGAACAAGTCCCAGCAGAGGGTGCTTGACTTTTCCTCCTTCCCTTCCTCTCTCCCCTTCCCCTCTCTCTTCCCTCCCTCCCTTCTCCCTGGCAAGCATGTACTCTCTGGCAACTAAAAAAAAGAAAGAAAGAAAATGCTGACAAAAATAAACATAAAAATAAGGCTTTAACAAATTATATTGTTTACACGAATATTGCCTACTTTTTATTCTGGCTATTTGCCTAGATTTGTAAAAATACTAAGTCTGGGGCTGGCCCTGTAGCTAAATGATTAAGGGAGGCAAATCCCACATGGCAAACCCCATTGTGCGAATCATTCCTGGAGGCTTGAAAAACATAACGGGCACATGTAATGTGCATTCCCCAAATTCTGACAGAACAGAGAAATGGAAGAGAAGGGACTCCCAGTGAAGGTGCCTTCCTCCTCTGCTTCACTCTCTTTGTTTCTCTCTGTCAATTAAAAAATAAACAAACAGGAACCAGCAGTTAGTGTAATGGCTATGTCGCTGGATTCCCACGTAGTCGACCGCAGTTCGCGTCCCGGACCCAGTGGCTTAAAACTCACGCCGGGCACGTGTGCGTGCATGCCCAAGATCCCGAGAGGAGAATGGAGGAGAAGAGATTGCGGCGTGACCATCCCCTCTGGGGGGTGATTTCTTGCTTTCTGTCTCT